GGTTTTATGTAATAAATACACTAAAGTCACTCTCTATACCTGTTCCATTGTTCCAGGAAAAGACCGGGAAATGGCACTTGTTTCCTGGACAACAGACGTCCTTGATGTCCATGTCAAGTATTTTTCTCCCGTTTGTTGTTCATTTGAGTCACCTGACCCGCCTGTGTGTAATCACTACCCGCCCGCATACCCGCCCGTTAAATTCCAGAACGTTAAAACCCGCTTGTTTCAGCACCGTTTCAGATGAACTTGTGTATTTCATGTTTTCTGGTTAAGGGTCTGCCATCTGCTTGGATTAAATCTACATCAAGACAATTATGTAACACCACCAGGCCAAGTTACAGGTCAGCTCTGTGGAGAGGCAAACCCGCTCAGTGTTCAAATGCATGCTTTTGAATGTATTTCTGAGCCATAAAAACACTGATAACTAACTGCAATGCAAGATAGATGACTTGTATGACTTAATGCCATGCAGTGGAACATTCTGGGCAAAGCAATAACATCTCCACAGAGACAAGCAGATGACGGACCCACCATCAGAAAACTTACGCATTGCACCTTCAGGCCTTAGAACAGATTTTATGTCTAATAGGGTGCCGTTGGATACTCTGTAAAACTCTATCTGAGAATAAAGTTTGTTCTTACAATGACAGAAGACTTGATGTTTTCACTGCACTTTTTCACTGGGAGGCAGACAGCAAACAGCTTGTTCCTCTTTAAGTAGTCAACACAGTATATCATATCCAAATAGCACTCCCTATGCTTCAAGGCCCTGCGACATGCTTTTGTGTTGACTCTGGGTCTCTTTTAATTCCTATCATCATTTTTTACCCACCTCCCGCTCCCCCCACAGCTCCATCCCTCTGGTATTAACGCTTTTCTCTCATAGTAGAGAAGACTGCAATGCTGTTTATTATGTTTCAGCCTCTCTCCCTGTAGGCCATGGCTGCTCTGTGCTTTATGTTATTAAAGCAGGATTTTGGCACAGCTATCAGTGGCCCCACAGCAGTAATTACACAGAGTTTGCATAGCAGCCTGTGACTCACTCGCCGTCGTCTGAAATGGTATTACGAAGCGTTGCGTTCTCATCGGGGACCGTCTTGTGAAGTCCTTTGGTCCCAGGGCGAAAAGAAGTGACACGGGCGAAAAGGACACGAGACCAGGCACAGAGCAATATGTAATGGATAACGTTTAGCTTGTAGGGTTTTGTTCTTTTTTCGGCTGTTTTGTGTTTTGTTGTTCATTTTGCGTGTATGTTCAAATGTATCAACTGGAAGCGTTGCCCTGACAAAGTGACAGATGAGGGACAGAGAAAGGGTCTTGGACCGGGTGAAAGATTGAGGCAGGTGTTTACAGAAGGCAATGAACAAAGAAAGCTGTGCCAATGTTCAAGACAGCACTAAATTAAAGGTGGTGGGTGTGTGTAGACAAAAGCCAATGCTGCAATCTGGGGGTGGTCCCTTATGGATTTTTCAAACAATACCAATATCCCATTTTTGTTTTGCAGTTGCGGTTTTCACATTTACAAAAATAATAACAAAATGAATTCAAAGTACATTTTATGGTGATTGTTTAGAGGGCTCATATGACACTTTTTTCTGATTTCTCATTAAAGACATTACATTTTGATTCACAAATCCATGAAATTTATGCTGAGTTATTCTCTCAGCTTGAAATCACTTTGGTCTACCTTGTGATGCTATATGGCAATACAGGAAGTGTTCCACTGTGTTTAGAAACTCCTTCACTAGTATCATTTGGCCCTGGAATTGCTCATTTCTAAAGGTAAAAGGTAGCTGTTAATTGAAAACTACAGCTTCATGACATCACAAGGTGGAACAGGGCATTTTGAGATTTGGGAATGTAGACAGACTAATAAAAAAGAATTACTATATTTTTCAGACTATATGTCGCTCCAGAGCATAAGTCGCACCAGCCAAAAAATGCATAATGAAAAAGAAAAAAAAAACATATATGAGTCACACCAGAATATAAGTTGCACTTTTTGGGGGAAAATTATTTTATAAAATCAGAGACCAGAAAACAACATTTCATCTTGAAAGGCAAGTTATAGTAAAAACAATAGAACAGAGAACAACAGGCTGTCAATGTATGAACAGTTCTTCAGACTATAGCATAAACAACAGAACAAGTTTACCAAACTCTCCATCCCACTCCAAATCACTAAATCCATTGAATTCTTCATCCTCGGTGTCACTCCTGAGCAACTCTGCGACCTCCAGAGGTAAACAGAGCGCCGCTTCCTCTTCTTTACGGCTGTTGTCAGACTCAGCATTAGTTCCATTTAGAATTATTCTGGCCTTTCTGATTCCCAACAGGACGGTTTCAGTTGTCACTGAAATCCAGGCTTTGTCGATCCATCCAATGACTTCCAGGAAAGTTACACGGCGCACCCTCCTGGTTGTCCCAAGTTTGCTACTTGCAGCTTGGAATCAGCAAAATATTATTTTCTTTTTGGGGGCATTTGTGTTCAGTCTTCACAGTTGTCTTTATTAGTTTGTTTAAATTTTCAGTGTTAAAGAAGTAATGGTGCAATCGACTGACATGATATGAGACAGGACAGAGGCTCTTTCTGCAGGAGACAGGCGCAGAAGAGCCAAGTGACAGTGGTACAGGAGTAGTAGTAGTAGCAGATACTGACACACAAGCCTACAGCGCCCTCTCATGACTGTCAGTATGAAAATTATAATATATAATTGTAATTTATATATATATAAAGTTGCACCAGAGTATAAGTCGCAGGACCGCCAAAACCATGAAAGTAAGTGCAACTTATAGTCCGACGGTGCTCAAACATATGTGAAACAACATTATAACATGGCTAAAAGAGTCAACTTTGTGTAATGTAGGACCTTTAAACATACAGCAAACTTTAGCTTTAGCTTCTTTAGCTTTATTGCTCTTTATTTGTTTTTGATCATTGTGACCCGGAAACGGATGTGAAACTCTTAGTTCAGGGGAAAATGCTCATTGCTTTCAGGCAAAGAAGAGGACTCAATAGACAAACTATCTCATGTTCGGTATCTTCTCATGTCTTACTTGTGGGTTTTTTCACTGACCGCCACGTGTCACACAGTGTAGTTAAAGAAAAGAGCCCCTAGCATTGCCCTGACAAAAAGACTGATGACAATGAGCAAAGACATCTTCACTTTTATATTTTCCAGTTTTTCGTAGTCCATTTGCCGTACGAACAGAAAAGGGCATGCCAAATTGTCCAGGGGTCGTGGGTTAGATGAAACGACTCCGATATGAACTGCGGTGAGAGATATGAGCAAAGCATTAAAGTCACAGAGGCCCACGACGCCTTTATTCCACTATTGATCTCGTCCTCTCTGCGGATCTTTCATGGCTCTCCATTTGTCACTGACTTGGACTCACTGGCTGACTGCAGACTGGCCTTTTCAATTGTCCGTGTGTGTGTGTGTGTGTGAGTTATTATAGCATTGCATTTGGCTGAATCTGTGCAGGGTCAGGTGTTAAATCACTAGCCGGGGTCAGGAGTAAACAGGAGGTCAGACACTGGAGAGGTTCTTCACACTCTCACCATAAGACGATCAACCTTTAAAAACCCGAAGAGCAACTAAAAACAAGTAAAAGTTACAGTTGTTTGAGACATTTGCGGAGGGTTCAAGATTTGACTTCTGGTTCGATCCACTCCTACATCTCATACAAATGTTACTATAGGTACTTACTTGGAGAATATTTTTTCTCTATATACTGGTATTACTTGGTGAATAGAGTTGTCTATGTCATGTTTTGGGTCCTGTCTACCTGTGATATATCTTTTAGCCCTAAATTTGAAGCTGGTTCCCAATTCACCAAATTGAAAAACAGTTGAGTTCAATATGAGACCCTTGCCATCTCACAATTAGTTCCACTTCAGTCAAAACCATCATCATATTTTCAGGAATCTACTCTCTTTTTTCTCTTTCTGGTCTGATTTATTAGTGACATTTTAATTCAAATCAAGTCAAATGTCCAAAAGTGTTCCCAATTGTATTCTAAATGCAAAAAGGTTTCATACAGTTTATGAAACTTTCTCTAACTTTGCTGTACTAGGCTTTATACTGACAGATGCCGTCTCCAGCACAAAGCCATTTCAGAGCATTGGAATGTTTTGCTCAGTGTCTGCATAGAGCCGACTTGCAGTGAACACCTTCTTCATCTCTCTCCCTTTCTCTCTCTTCTTACTCACTCTCTCCTCCTTTCTCTTTCTCTGTCTTTTTTTCCCCCTCTCTCCTTTCTCAATCTCTCTCTGTTCTTGCTCACTCGCTCTCTTTCTCTCCCTTCTCTTTCCTCTTTCTTTTTCTCTCCCCTTTCTCTCCTCTTTCTCTCCTCTTTCTCTCTCTCTCTCTCTCTCCCTATCCACTCTCTGTAAATGAGCTGGGAGCACAATGTGTGGGCCGCTGGAGGACTTTGGGTGAGTTTCCAGCGCTGGCTTATCTGCAAATGCTCCGCTTCGACTAATTGGCATGATTATTTCAGTGGCAGGCTCAGCCCTGAAATAATCTCAGTAGGTCACTATGGAGCAAACAAACAGGGATTTACTATATGCTGCTGTCATTGATGTCCATTGCCCGTACATGTGCTCCCACATGCACCTGTAAACCACTCAGCATGTTGGTGTGTGCGCAGAATTTTAAACAAGCGTCTGTCAATTTCAATCAAGTAAGCGCGTGGCATGCCTCAGGCTCAGGTAGCCCAATTACAGCTAGACGCATTCGATCTACAAGCAGAAAGACCTGGCCCGGCGTTCTTTATTCAAACGGGGCTGTGGGAGAACAGACAGTGAATGTAATGGTGGTCGATGTGTGAAGGGCGAACAATGTGGAGACGGATGCAGAGCGCGTCGATGTTTTTGTGTCTGTCGGAGAATGAATGGAGCGGACAGTTAATGTGATGGGCCGACGCAGTGTGAATCGTTTGATTAAAATATGTCTGCCCAGAAAAGTTTTCAGAAATGTTGTTGTGTTTTTCAGGGTGGAAAGATTCCAGTGAGATGGACAGCACCAGAGGCCATCGCGTACAGGAAATTCACCTCGGCCAGTGACGTGTGGAGCTACGGCATCGTCATGTGGGAGGTGATGTCATTCGGAGAGCGGCCGTACTGGGACATGTCCAACCAGGACGTGAGTACATGGACAGTTCAACAGTACAAATTATTATTATTATTATTATTATTATTATTGCCCTCATCTGTAATTACCTGTCTATTTAGTTAAAGTCACATTCATGTTAATTTATAGATATGAATTTACTCTGATGTCAAAGTGAGATCAAAATGAACAACTTGAGTAAACCACTTGGTTAACAGAATAGTTATATCCGCTCAGCTGTGTGAATACTGCACATACACAAGGCTAAGATAGAGTGAGGAAGCAGTTCTAAATTTCAGATTTGTATCTGAGCTTCATCACTGAGATGTCCTTGACTCTGACTTTGAAAGCCCACTTATTATGGGCACTGTCTGCACGATCCCTTTCCTTCCTGGCTGGCTTTGAGAGCACTGAATGATTGCTGAGTGCCCTGCTTTGTTCTTCATGTCCGTTTGGATAACGTCCACAGGCAGACTCCACCAACACAAACATACACAACTATTGGACAGAGGCCGGAGCTCCAAGGTCTCTGTGTGCTCCCAGAGCGAGACAGGAGCCAGGCCTCCATGGAGCCCTCTCCATGAAGAGTGTCCAACCCAGCAGATGTGCTCACAGTGGGCCAGCCGCACTGAGCTGCTGGGGCTGATGCAGAGAGGAGGGCTGGCAGAGTGCTGTGTGTCCGGCTGCTAAAGCCACACCTTCACACATACACACACACATACACACACACACACACATACACACACACTACATACATACACACACACACATACACACACACATACATACATACATACACATTCACACACACATACATACACACACGCATGATCAAATACACACACACTCAGCACTCCCCCATATGCACCATTTGTCAAGATTCTGCTGAGGTGCACTCAACTGTGGGGTGGAGCTGGCAACCCACAGGGAAGCCACTAATTTTTAATGATAGTATCTTATAGGCTTGATTTCACCACAGACCCCAATCTTGCAGTGATGCATTTTTAAGACAAGACTGAGTATAGCCATATCTGTGGAGATATATCCATGGGTACAATGTTACAAAAGCAGAAATAAAACTAACGCAGCCTGTGCTAACATAGTTAAAGCTGCAAATGTGTCAGCAAATGAAGTATGCAAGTAAATTATTCCATGGCTTCTTTTCAGGGACAAATGAACAGAATCTAATTATTATTTTTCATCTATTGCCACTTCACTCTCTCTTGTATCTTTAGGGGATGCTAATAAGGTGTTATCAAAAGAGTGATACTTGAAACTGCACTGTGAATATCTAAAGTTTGATTTGGATATATTTGTTTGTTTGAAGGTGATCAATGCTATAGAGCAGGACTACAGGCTGCCCCCACCCATGGACTGCCCCAGCGCGCTGCACCAACTGATGCTGGACTGTTGGCAGAAAGACCGTAATGTCCGACCACGCTTCACTGACATCGTCAGCACCCTGGACAAGATGATTCGAAACCCCACCAGCCTCAAAGCTATCGCTAACATCCCTGCAGTGTGAGTGGACTCTGTCCTCACTGAACCCCAGTAAACTCTAATGTGTCCATTTGCTCTGCACAACTGTGGCTGTCTGAACATAATGAATATGTAAAGTGTATCACAGGAACTTTTCCTATAAATATTTCTCATGTCTTATGGTAATCATGCACGACTAACATCTAAAAAAAAAAAGTTTTTATTTTTGTTTTGTTTTGTTTTTTTCTGAAGACAAAAAACAGATTGGTTGGAAACAGATAGTTCTTTTTAGTTCTTTTTAGTTTCCTTTGTGCAGGTTCAATTACTCCAGCAGGACATTGTACACCTATTTAAACTGTACACACCTTATTGAAAACAATTTGTCACAGTCTTCCTTGGAGACTCCTCAGCCATAGCCAAATTGGATGTGGATGTTAGCTTTCTTCACAGATTTACTCTCCAATTACAAAGCTGTGGCCAGGTTAACTGGGCCTTCCACACTTGTCCTCGGCTCACTTGTATGAGACTGTGGACTTCAGACCACTGCTATGGACTTAAGCTGTGCAGTGAACCACATGTCTCATACTTCTGACAATTTTATATGTCTCTGTTACTATATTCTTTCACAACTCTTATAATATTCATGCTGGTAGAATGACTTGATCTACAGGTAACTTGAACTAAAGCCTTCTTATGAAAATGTCTGTCTTTCCATGGCAGGCCTTCTCAGCCACTGTTGGACAGGTCCATCCCTGACTTCAACACATTCAGCTCGGTGGAGGATTGGCTTGCTGCCATTAAGATGAGCCAGTACCGAGACAACTTCCTCAACTCAGGCTTCACATCTCTGCAGCTGGTGGCTCAGATGACCTCAGAGTGAGTTCACCTCTCAGCCTCACTCACATGTGGCACTTGGATAAAATCACCCCGCGTCAAGTGTCTGTATTTTAGACTCAAGTGCAGAAAGTGAGCAAATCAAAGAGATCTTATGGCCCCCATACAGCCGAGCCCACTAAAGTACTACATTTTTCAGTTATTTCAGTGCAGTCATTTTCTTTGACTCATGCTCATAACATTGGTGTTTCCATTATGAGCACAACTTGCATCTAATTAAGTTAAAATATCAGTGGGTCACTTGAAATTCTTTTTTTTTTATTGTAATAAAAATGTAGTCTTGAGACATGGTGGCATTTAAGCAACCTTCTTTTTATTCAAGGCAATGTGCATTACATAATCACTAATGCGTGGACTGACTTTGCTGAAGGATCACTTTTACTACCATTAAAACTGTGCTTTTGCTGTTGAACACATTCATGAGGAGCTGCCTTTCTTAATATGTGTCTGTATTGTCTGTTTGTTTCCAGGGACTTGCTAAGGATAGGTGTGACTCTGGCGGGCCACCAGAAGAAGATCCTGAGTAATGTGCAGACCATGAGGGTGCAGATGAGCCAGTCCCCGTCCACGTTGGCATGACTACAAGAGGCGCTGTGCCACGGAGCGGGCAGCATTCGGAGGACCACCGACAACAGCCCCCGAATGACCCCCCCTCCGTCGGAACGCGCCAGAATCGAGACTATTGTCTTAATCTAAATGGTCACGTGTCTACAAGAGGAGAGCAGGGTCTACACTACCACAGCTATCACCAATCCAAACCAGGAAGTAAACCAGGAAGTTCAGGGTGCAACGCGTTACTGTTTCTCCATTCATAAAGACACATGCTGCTGTGGTTTTGGAACTCCATTTACCGTCATATCTGCAGCATCAGTACAGGGAACATATATTTCCAGAGTGTTTGGTAAAAGATATATTGTACCTCTATATTATCTGGACTAGACCATGTTAAAACTGTAACCAGAAATGTGAGACATTTACAACCAACAACGTGTGACCTGTGATGTTGCCCATACTGTCGTCAATGTGTGCAATGAAGAGGCCTTGGTCTGGTCCAGAAATATGCTCAAGAAGAAGAAGCAATCAGCAGAAAGACTGTCTATAGAATTACAGGGATGTATAGTGGAGCACCATGGTCAATTCACCTCACAGTCATAGTTTGCTCGTTTTACATTGAAAATAATGTATTGTTGAATTTCTGGTGACAGAGCTTAGTTCTATTTTTGTCTTCATCCGATCGTTTGTACTTGTCACTATAACCAGATCCACCCACGTGTCTGAACTCAACACTACCTGTGGAGTGGGCTGCCAAAGGACTTTTGAACCAGCCCTAGATTCAGAGAATATAAATATGTTTATCTCTTGCTAATTATGATTATTAACTTCTATAATAACCTTCATATTGAAGGTGGTATGTAAGAATATGTATGTACAGAACTATCTGCTTGCATTTTGGCAACGACTTGTTTGTTGATTAGATTGTGTTAGATACATGCAATGTGTAGGTTCCCACTGTGCCCTAGCTCCTTGTGACTGACTGTTCAAAGGACACAGGGTGCTCTCATTTATCCAGGGGCACATGGACTATCCAGTACAGAGAAATATGTTACTGAGTCGGTCTAGTAGATCTAAGTATGAGTAGGACTTGTAGGAGATCTAATGACAAATGTCCATCTATTGAGAACTTGAGCTCATGTTAAATGTGGGTGTGCACATGCTGTCTCTTGCTGGTGAGCACTTGCTTGTACAGAAATGTTTTATGTTTTCTTCATCTGTTGTTTGTGTCGAGTGCTCAGCACCAATGGAAGATGGAGGAGGATCAGAGCCTCGCCAGGCCAAATCCACAGTGAGTCTGTACAGATCACATACACATAATGCATGCACTGACCAGAAGAGACTTTTAGACACGCACAACAATTATTGTTAGTGTTCAATGGAAAAATATATAAGCAAAGCAGTTGCTCTGCTTAAAAGTTCCATATTACTCTATTTTCTGATGTCATGTGGTGATGCAGGAAGAGCTCCACTGTGTTTTCAAACTCCATACACCTTCATTAGAATCATTTGGATAATTTAAAGCCTTTGAATTGCCTATCTCTACTGAACAAAACTTTAAGGGTAGTTTTTATCTTGAAAACGACCGCTTCATGATGCTCCATGCCATCACAAGAGCATTTGTACTGTGTAACTTGTGAAAATGTAGACAGGTGTGTTTTTTTGGAAGGTAACAACAACATTATATATATTTAGTGTAATATAGGACCTTTAAGCAGCATGTACAGCATATAAGACACACAGTGATTGACGTTAAATTGCCAAAAGATGCTTGTTGTACTCCTGCCCTCACAGGACCACTGCAGCTCCACCTCCCATAGACACAACACTTCTTCCAATATGGACTCTCTATAGTGTCTGCAGTGCCATATGGATGGACAGGCTGAGCACAAATGCTGTGATAAACCCGTGATTCATACATTTTATACTCATATGAATGGACCCGTAGAGGCCTGCCTATGGTATGAAACATTTTGCCTTCAGGGACAGCATATATGGCTTTGAAATCTCCTGGTATATTTTTGTGTGGAGTACATAGGTTATATCATGATTGCGGTTGGATTGGTTTGGAGAAATGTAATGTTGTTTTTCGCAGTAAGAACTTCAGAGCAGGATTGCAAAGGGGACTTCTGTGATTACAGTTCTTTCTAGCAGGTCGCAGGCATAGGAAAGAAAAGTACAAAGAATCTTGTCGGTTTTGCCAAAGTAAACATTGAAAAAGTATTATACATGGTTTTCAACAATTTCTGCCTTGTTTTTCAACGTGAATGTGGACAGATTGCACTAAACCTTTATGCTATGTTGACGTGTCAGTGAAGAGTGATTCAGGTTGGTTCAGTCAGATTGACTTCAGTCCTGCTATAATCCGATTAGTTTTAATTAATCCTGGTCTGAAATATATTGTTAAAGGTGCAATGTGTTCCTTTTTGCCACCTGCTCTTCTCTCTTTTGACTAAAATGTTCCACAGTATGACATTAAATGCATTGTATTGTATGTGTTACCTACCTGTCTCTATGGGGAGACAGACAGACCTACTTGTCTCTGTAGAGATGGTCAGATCTGTGGAGAGGCGGGCCAACACATAGTAAGAAAGCATTTTTTTCAAGGTATGACTTAGCAGTTAAAGTAGTTATTTAATAAATGCAAGATAGAGTCATTGTAGTCTAATGCCATACTGTGAAACATTTCTGGAAAGGAAATAAGATCTCTGAAGATATAAACAGGTGGCAGAGCCTTGCCGAAAAGTTACGTAGGTGCACCTTTAATTTCTGTACTGGTTTAGATTTTTTTATTACGGTTCACCAAGTTCAACCCCACATTTGGACAGTAAAAGATTGCGTCCAAAAAGTCGGGAAACATTCAAAACCCGCGAGGAAGGAAAGGAGTTATCTTTTTGACCCTTTTTAATTTCTTTGCGACAATGAGTGAAGACCAACTCCTAAGCACCTTCCTTCCAAAATTAGAAATTGATGGCAGGCCCATTAGCAGATTATTAAGTACACTCTGCCCCATAAGACCCCACCCCTCCCTCAACACACGTACCCCCCCTCCTCTGCCTGCCCTGCCCCGCTGCAGCTCTGCACTCCGCCTGGTTGGAGCTGGCAGGCCTCCAGCTCATTTGTCCTGGGTGTAACCAAGCTGTCCTAGGCATAGGGGACCAGGGCTGGGCTAAGGGCCGGCCTGAGAAATGGCTGACTTCATGCTCCAGCGGACATAGAAGAGAGAGAAAGACAGAGAGAGGGAAAGAGGAGGGGTGTTACCTGCTGGGACCCCCCTCTAAAAGCATCTGATCAGCAGCAGGCAGGGGGAGATGGATAGGACTTATCAAAGAGGAGCAAGAAAAAAAGCCTGGAATTTTAATGTTCAGAATTCATTTTAAATGTCACATAATCTGTAATCTTATGGTTGATTCATATTCCTCATGCAAAAATATAGATCCCTAGGTTTTTCAGGCACTTTAGTACTTCTGTATTTCTGCTGAATTAATCATAGCCTGGATCAAAAAAATATATGTAATTCAATTTGATTGAAGGGATTTTTGTAAAGAATGATTGTGTAAAAATTAGAACATCTGTCTAACTATCTGGAGTTTAAAAATTACTTTGATTTTAAAAAAAAAAAAAAAACATGCATTCTTACTGTGAGCCTCTCCACAGATATGACCTATCACTTAGACCCTGTTTACACTGAAATGAATCTGCGTATCACCGTATCAGCATATTGGAAACGATCTGCATCCAGACACGTCGTTTCTGTATCTGCAGTCAAAGCCTTCCCTGTCCCCACAGTAACGCAAAATCGCCTGAAACGCTCGTCACATGATAGGCTGGTGTCATGTCGTCCCAACGTCACATGAGCGGTAAAAACAAGGAAGTCTGAAGTTGCAGCAGCTGATTTTGAGCTAAGGGAGATGGCAAATGTAAAAACAGTGTTTTCATGGACCGACGACGAGGTTCAGTTGTTACTTTGCGTAACACTGGATTTTAAGACGAGCATGGCGGCTCAGAGTGAGAACTGACTCGTTTCTGTGTCCGCAAGCCTTTCCCATCCACACAGCTTTGAGCATATTTGTTTACGTTTTACAGAAACAAAACTTAAAACCGCATGACTAATTTGCATAAATTGAGAGCTCAAAACAGCTCGCTATTGTGCCCTGATGCAGTTCAGGTTCTGTCGGACTAAAGGACATGACTCAGTAGAATATGAGTGTTCTTTCTGTGACAGAGGGATGTTCTGCTGATGGTGAGTCTGTTCTGTGCTTCTATTGCGTTGGAGATGGTTCATGTTAAACTTTTCAAAGATTATACGTCTGCAGGTCATACGCATAGACCGTATATATACATATATGAATGGACAAATATTCTAGCCTCTTAGCGTTTTGGCGGTGATTTTCCTACTTCACGGTGCATAGACCTACATCAGCGTATCAGCGTTTTCAGGCGTCCACACAGTGCTGGGTCAGATACGTATTCAAATGAATTTGTGGGAGCTGGCGGCACTAGATCATTCCGTCTCTGGAGTCGTTTTCAATTGGATTAGTGTGGACGAACACTGCATCCGCAACGAAAACGGCTCAAATACGTACCAGTGTGGACGGGGCATTAGCCTGATAGTGACGACATATAAGCACAATGCCCTACAGTGGAACATTCCAGGCAAAGCAATATCTCTCCATTCAAAAATAAGCAATTGGCGTGCCCATGGAAGATAATTTGTTTCATCAGATTTAGAATTTTAAATGTCATTGAATTTCTCAACTCTGAAAAAAGTTGTTTGAATTAATTTTATTCTGAAATTTTAAGTGTACAATTTCATTTTGTTTAATATTTAATATTCAGTTCAATTAAAATCATCTTTTAAATATTCAGCACAAATATTTTCAAGGCCTCAAATTCAACAGTCAAAATTCAGAGTGTTATATTCGGAGTGATTTGCAGGAAAGGTCCAAGATGCCAAGTCAGAAGCAATCAATCCAAAGTGATCCGATCTCATTTAGTAACAAATGGTGCAGGTAAACAGTTCTGATTGGTCAGAATTAGCCTCATCCAAACCTCATGTCTTTTATTTGTTTAGTGTAAACCCCGCCCACAGACGAGCGCAGCCAATAGGAAACAGCCCCTGTCCTCCTCGCTCACACAGGATCGATTGCTTTTGCCTTGACATCTTGAATTTTTCACTCTTGAAAAGCGCTTGAAAAGAGAGCTTGAAAATATCTGTGCTGAATATTTAAAAGGTGACATTTTAATTAAAAATTTCAAACATATTGAAAAAGTACACTTTAAATGTCAGCAACTAAAATCCAGAATAAAAATAATGCAAACATCTCCAAAAAATTCAAAGTGAGAAATTCAGCGGTGTTTAAAATTTACAATCTGATGCCGCTACTCAAGTGTTCAAGTGTTTTGTTTTTTGTTTTTTTATTATTTTAATTTCTTTCTTTGTATCCTTAATGGAACACGGGGAAAATAAATTAAAATAAATTCAATACTATCAAAGAGAGTTATGTGAAATGAAAGAAGGACGAAGGGGGGAAAAAAAGCAAATTGTTGTACATTTATAATTTGAAACTGCCATCTCTATTTGACTGTTAATAAAAATGTATAAATATCAAAATATTAAAATAATTTAAATAAAATAAAAATTTGAATTAAAAAATAATAATAATTCACAATCTGATGAAACAACTGATCTTTCATTCGTGCCCTTCACCACAAAAATTACATTGTGCACCCTTACAAGAAACTGTAAACTAAATGGAGGTCCAATGACAAAACAGTGCAATCCAAACATTCTTAAATCTTTTTTCATATTAGTTAGGTAATGAAATAACCCTGTAATCAACGCAGTGTTCTCCTTATTGGCAACGTCCTTGGCTGGCTCATTGATTTAGCCTGTATTATATTCCTACTCATAATCACAGACTCTTCCCCGCGATCGGCAAACTCTTTTTAACCGCAACCACTGATTCAATTTGAATGCATTAGGCTCCATTCAGCTCCGCCTCATGTATTTGCAGAGAGCCCATGAATGAGCCAATCGAATGTATTCATTATCCCACAGTGTCATTCTTCTCTACCCATTTGGTCTGTTTGTCTTTGTAAATATCTGACTCTAATGACTCCCCGACATGTGAGGAATGGGAGGGCGTATCTCCAGACCCAGAGGAGCTAGTCTGCACAAAGCGTTCACTGTCAGAGCAGGAGGGCCAATGATGATTTAGTTGGTTATGTAAAAGGACCGTATTACGTTATTTTCTGAACTGTTATCATTTCCTCAAGACAAAACATACCTGTGTTTTGTTTTCTTTCATTCACACATGTTTAACACAAGGCCTGTTCTTGTCTCAAACGGAAAACACTCCGCCTTGTTATGTCATGTGGCAATACAGGAGCCTTCACTAGAATCATTTGGATAATTCCAGCCCAGGAATTTTCAATTTCTACTGAATTAAAGAAAAAATGTAGGTGTTAACTTGAAAACTACCGCATAACATCACAAGGTGGACCAGAGTATTTTGAGACAGACAGATTATATGGACAGACATTATAACACGGTTTTATGCTCACAAGAGTAAATTTTATTTATAACTCAATCATTTTTCCTCCTTTTTTTCTTCTGTTTCAGATGGAGAACCTCTTTTTGTATGCTGTCCAAGCTGTGGATTTATACCTATAGACATACACCAGTCAGGCATAACACTATGACCACCCGCTCAGTCATCTTTATATTCTAGAACCACATGAGCTCTACTACACTGTCCCACATGCAACCAATTGTGAAGCACTGTGTCTTTTGATACCTTTGTAATAGAACCAGACTTTTTAATTCACATTGGCTAGAGATATTATACTTCACATCGCTCACTCTCTTCTCATCCTTAATAGACCACATTTTTAATTGAATTAAAGGTTTTAAAGAAACAACAATAGAATATGGCATATGACAGCGCGAGGCTAAACTCATTTCCATTAAACACTGAAAATGGAATGTTCTTTTTCCTACAAGACGAAAACATAGTACACTGTAAAATCTAATAAGGTCTTACTTGAAAACATCTAGGAAACCGATTGCCTTGAAATATCTGCCTAAAGTGGACTGTGAATTTAAAGTTGAACTCCAAGTAATTCCTCAGTGTAGTGTACAGTAAATTCCTCTTTCATCTAACAGGCACAGCAAGTTAAGTGAACTTTAGTTTTCATTGACAGAAGTCATTTTGTGAAGCTGTTGCCAACTAATCAGTCAGGTCCTTAAATCTGAACTATATAGTAACCTTTACTTTAAGAGTAACTTCATCTTACTTGGCAAAACCATCGAAATCATGCCTTGAATTGAGCAAGTAAATGTTACTTATATACACAAGTTTGAGTAAAAACAGGTTCTATTCTACATAATGCCATTTAGATCTGCATCAGGTACACGAGGATTTGAATACTTATTAGTCTTTGAAAAAATCATAGCAAAACTTTGGTACAGCTTAAGCTCAAACAAATCATAACATGTGTAACAATAAAATAATAAAGTTCAATCATTCCATGTCAACTCAACCAAGGCCCCTTTGGTCTCAAAAAATGCTGGAAGAAACAAAACAGGTGCACAGGTGTAATCGAGCACAGACTGAATGAACAGAGGGAGGATATAGGGACGGCCCTGGGAGGTTTAGGGAACGAGTGGCAGCTGTAGGAAAAACACAGCGGTAGCAAAAGAAGGACCGGAACAGACTCGTCTCATTCAAGTTGATCTTAGTCTAACTGACAAGTAATGTGCTTGTCAGTTTGTCGAACCCTAGAGTTAGATTTTACAGTGTAAAGGTATATGAATCATTTTGGTTATGTAATTATGTTTTTTTTTTTTTTTTCAGTCACTCAAATATAGGCTACTCTCTTATCATTAAACATTTCACTCTTTGTAGACTATCCCTGGACAACTTTTGATACAATACTGAACACCATAACCCCCCACAAGAACTCCATAACAGTCATCATTTTGACTTTATTTTACTGCAAAATATTCACAAACATAGAAATGCCTCGCCTCTCCAGTGGTCATAATGAAATGCCTGATTGCTGTTTACCTTCAAAACTGTGGATTTTACACTTTATACGAAGCACGTAACATATTCACAAGTACACCTGAGTCGACCACCGCTGCGAGACGGAACAGGACCAATTGAAGGGGACCTATCTTATGGTACAGATGAATTGAGCAAGCTGTTAGCTGTTAGCCTGCACTTTCACTCTTCTTCTTTTGTGTGTGTGCGAGTACGGGAGTGAATGGCAGCCATGTTTAGTGTACATCAATGTGTGTGCACCGGTACATCGTTTTCCTTTCTGTATAGCAAAACCACTTGTAAATTGTGAAGTATGTGTCAAAGAGTTTGTAAGATGTAACTTTCTGAGAACTATTGTACTAAAAATGCACTCAATAAACGCCTTGGGAAAAACAAGTCAGTCAATGCATGCTTCGTGACTCCGGGTTTGGTGATTCGGTTTTCATTAGCGCTGACAGGACCAAAGTTCTATGGGAGGGTTATTATCAGCTAGCGCCACTGTCAGAGAACTGCGTGACATGGAATACTCACTTTCAAATATGAAAGTGGAAATAAAGGGCCATTTGTCAGCAGCACTTGGCCTGACAGTCTGTGTTCAAACTGCTAATACACAAGACATCACTCGCCACATGAGGGTGTGAGATTTTTGACAACTGCTCTGGAATCGTTGTATGTATGGTCAGCTGGCAGACACAGACGCTTACAGTGTTCAATTATCAAATGAAGAACTAATTGAGGCAATGTTATAAGAATAATCATTTTAGATTTATAGGAAAACCCTTTAAACAGTGCCTCTGTCATCAGTTTCTACTAATGCAAATGTATAGAGCAATGTAAACCATCTCTTTGTGTAAACAGAGCTATTCTCTGCATGTCAAAGCTGTGACTGTAAAGTTTACATTTCTGACCAGATGTGAGCCTGGTCCATTACATAGGCTACTACACCGCACGATTCTTCTGCTGCTGTGTGGGCTAGTAGTTCAATGTTTAAAAAACTAGCCAAGTTTGAGGGTTTTATTTTATATAAATAAATATTTAAAAAATAAATATTAAAATGAATAAAAATATTAGTTAAGAGTGAATCTCACAGCACAATGGTCCATGGTTGAATCCAGAAACAGGTTTTTCTGTCTAATTTTAGCAATGCAGTTATTATAATATTACAAAAATAAATAAATACATTTACATTTTACAAATACATTAAGTAAGGTTTGTACTAGGCTAGTACATGGATGGGAGACCTCTGGGAAAGGTGTCACAGTGGGGAGCCAGTAGTTAAAACTGTCATCGTGTCTTTAGGCAAGGCACCTCACTCACATTGCCTAGTATATAAGCGGTGTGTGGGTGAGTATGGTTGGAGGAGCAGATGGCGCAGATTGGCAGCCTCGCTTCCGTCAGTCTGCCCCAGGGCAACTGTGGCTTATCCCCTCTACCTTTTTTTTTTTTGCTTCTTAACTTTTCTCTACATTTTGTGGCAAGAAGCAGTGTATACTTGTTCAAACTTATTTACCTGCAAATGGGAGGAACAAACCAAATGGTAAATTATCATTATATTATAGAAAAAAAAATCATATTTAGATGGATCATCTCTAGGCAAAATTGTCCATTATCATCTTCTATTTACAAGTCTATAACCTTGTATCATAAATACTTTTCACTAATTAGCCCAGGTAACAATGGAAACATGAAAGTAAAGGGAAATTGCATAAGTTGTGTAACTACTGGCCAGTCCATTTCACAGTGCAGTGTATTCAGTGTGGAGTATGCAACACAACTGAAGGTCATGTGGAGTCCTCGAATCGCTGCAGTAACAGTGAAAGTGATGTAATGAGCATTGGTTTGGCAATGGCTCTTACGAGAAGCACTCCCTAAGCCTTCTGGGTAATTGGGTCTGTTTGTCACTTTAATCAGAGTAATTAGACAGACAGAGGAAGACAAGTTTCCCCAAGACAAGCCTCTATACAATGTGCTATACATGCACGGCCATTTTATAGGTACACACTATTGAATCCTTTTAGATCCATTGAGCTGTGTAGACTACAGACACTCTCCTCTGACCTCTGCCAAGAACAAAAGCCTCTTCCCCACAGAACAGGCTCAAAATGTAAAAGATATATGTGTTTGTTTTTAATTCTTGAAAGTAAAAATTGAGCTGTTTTTGTTTTAACTTAACTTGCAGGCATTTAAAGGGCCTATACCTGCTATTTTCTGATTTATGTTTCCTTATCAAAAACATACCTGGAGCTGTGTTTTGATTTTATTCACACACAAACCCTGCGTACTTAGACTAAGGTCTTCTCTCAAATGGAAAACACTCTGTTCCACCTTGTGATGTCATGTGGTAATGCAGGAAATGCTCCACTGTTTTAAAACCCATATACACCTTCACTAGAATCATTTGGCTAATTTCAGCTCTGGAATTGTCAATCTCTACTGAACTAAAGGTAAGAGGTATCTGTTAATCTGGAAACTACCACTAGATGACATCACAAGGTGGAACAGAGCATTTGAAGATTCAGAGATGTAGACAGACAAAAAAAAACAGGTTTACTCAAACATGCGAATGAAACAAAAGACGACTCCATGTATTTTGAGGCGGTAACAGCATTATAACATGGCTTAAAGCTCACTAGAATCAGATTTTGTGTAATAAAAGACCTTATCTCCATACGTAACCTAAAAAAAACATACACATTCAGAATTGTCTTGTTTGTCTTTGCTAATTCAGAGTCAAACTGTGTTACAAGAATTGTGTTCCTAATAAAGTGACCAGTGATTTATCTACGTGTTTGTGCAGACTGAAAGAGAAGCAAATCCAAAGAGACGTGTTTTAACAATATCCTTTATCCCTAACTGTGTTTATCAGAGATTTGTCCGGTCAGTTCACTTTACTCTGTGTTAAAGTCAGAGGAAGTTTGAAAAGTGACTTCTCAGCAGCAAATCGTTGGCTTGATCAATATTCCTCGAGCAATCACCTGCGAAAAAAGGGATGGGTGCACAGCGGGGCCCCCTACTGAGCGCACGGGGGAGGGACCGCGGAGAGAGAGGCAATCGTCCAACGGGGCGGATCAGAACACAGCAGAAGAGAATACTGAGTCAAGGGCATCCACCAAGCCAAGCTAAACAGAAAAACAGGATATACAAAGGGTGCTGTCCATAGGTTTCAGGATGATGAAAATCAAGGAGAGTTACCATCGTGATTAACAGTATTTAAAACTAAATATTATATGCTTTGAATGAGAAAATGTCCTCAAAATGTTGCATAAAAACCCATGAATGGGAAGAGTATTGGCTTGCATTTGAATTTATTATGTAGAATAGATGATATATTAACAAATACTACTATTTTCTGTTAGCCTGATTCATCAGCCTGTTATACTTCACAGAAACCATCTGACCTCGCAGTATTAGGATTCGTTCACTCGATGGTAGGCAGGTACTTTTTTTAATTTAACCAGTCACAGTTGTTTGATCGTGACATATGTAATGAGCCAAATCTCATAGGTAGAAGGGCAATAACGTCTTGATAAAATTCATCAAACTTTCTCTTTGTTCCAGCTTTAAATCCTCAATCTTGGGAATCGTTGCCAACACAGAATGTCTGGCTTTGTCTACATCCATCTCGACGCTTTGTTTACTGTTGTGCTGTTCCACAAAAGGACCCAGACAGACGCTTTAGTTTGACGTCATGACTTCACAGCTCTTCGCTGATTGGCCGGTGTGCAGTCTACAACTTCCGGGGTTTTTGCAAACCGTCTAGTGTATTTTGATTCCTGACCTAGTCACTGGAGAGAAATGAAATTGAGTGGAGGCACTAGGTGGTGCCAACCTGGCTAATTCTCTGTTGTGTGGACCAAAATTAAACTGTGCTTTCATTTTCTTTCATTAATTTGTGATTAAAAAACAAAACAAAGCAAAACAAAAATGAATTAGTTTTTAAAAGGTATACTAAAAACACTAAGAAACTAAATATGGTCAGTTGACCCTGATAATCAATTCATGGGTTAATTTGAGGACATATTTCTCTTCAAAAGATACAATATTGAATTGCTTATCACTATGGTACTAGTCCTAGATATAACTAATATTTACGTTAATCTTCCTGTCCCTGAAGTAAATATGTGTTTACAAAAAGAAACGTTGCATTGTTAAATCATGATTATAGACTTTATATAACCCGCGATCTACTGTGCTCCAAATAGGAAATGAGCATGGGGACGCGTCCACTCTTAAAGTGTTCGTATTAACCCGCTGATGCTGGTATTTTTATTTCACAATTTTGTCTGTAATGAATCTCTATTCCTAAAATGGAAGTCAGCTCCAAATTCACCTCATAACCTCCAGCACTGAGAGCTTCATTTGACTGGAGTCGAACACTATGGGTGACGTCACACTCCCTTAGTCCACTTCTTTATACAGTCTATGCTCATGATACTTTCATTTAGACAGCCAAGACATCAAATATTTGTTTTATCAACTTCACATCCATCGTAAATCTAATTTCCATCCCCAAACTCGACCAAAGTGAGTGGTGTTCCATATTCCATTATAGGTGCTAACCTCTATTACACTTTTTAAATAGGCATGCGTATGAGCAGCGCCGTATGAAAGCACACGTCCGTATTCATTGATTCAACTCTGGAGCTCATGTTAGCAGACAGACTGCAGGGCATGTCTCAAACGAAATGTCAAAAAACAGCAATGTTTGAGAAATTTGTCATACTTATTTTCATCAGCGCTCTGTCTTTGTAAAATCAGAATAACAAACTCATACAAGTTTTCAGGGGACTGAAAATCAAAGCAGATAATTTTGAAAATTGCCAAATAGGACCGACAATACTAACATAACTTTTACTATTTAAAATATGCTTGATTTATGTTCATTTTAAACTGTTAAACTGCAATGGTCCAAACATATTCTGCACTTATTCATTCATGAGTTTACAAGCACTTTCCTGATTCTAGAAATGGACTTTTAATTCTTGGTTCACTTTATAATTTAATCTTTTTATCTGTACTGGTGTGAAACTAATTTTACTTTATTGCATGAAAAAATGTACTGTGATACTTGTTTATGTATTATAATGTACAAATAGCAACTAGTTCATGTTAATTATGTCAATACAAAATGAAGTTCTTTCAGTGTAGCAGCAGTGTATACTTGTTCAAACATATGTACCTGCAAATGGTACAAGCAAATGGTAAAGTATTATAATATTATAGAAAAGATAACATTTACTGTAGATGGAATAATCTTTGGGCAAAATTGACAGAAAGTCCTGGTTTCAGTATGAGCTCCACATTCAAACCAGTTGCACATATATGATGAGGGCTGGTGCTAATATGATAACGCACAGGGCATGCCTCATATGCAGCTCAATGACACACAGGTCTAT